CTGCTGCTGCTGCTGCTGCTGCTGCTGCTGCTGCTGCTGCTGCTGCTGCTGCTGCTGCTGTTGCTGCTGCTGCTGCTGCTGTTGCTCTTGCGGCTGCTGCTGCTGCTGTTGCTGCTGTTGCTGCTGCACAGGCTCGTTTCTGCTGCAGTGCTGTGCGCAGCTGCCGCCTCCGCCTCCAGGCCCTCCTTCTGCTGAATTGTCTGCAGCAGCGTCGCCAGTAGCAGCAGCAGCAGCAGCAGCAGCAGCAGCAGCAACGCCAGCAGCAGCGACAGCCGCAGCAGCAGCAGAGGGCGCAGCAGCAGACACTGATCTCATAATGTCTCTTATAAGTGCAAAAGAAGCAAAAAAGGCAGCAGACCTGCTGCTAGAAACTCTCAAGGCGAGAATTGCTGCTGCTGCTGCTGCTTTTGCTGCTACTGTTGCTGCTGCTGCTGCTGCTGCTGCTGCCTTTGCTGCTGTTATTGCAGCAGCTGTCGTTGCTGCTACTCCAGGCAGCCGGTGCCTTCCGGACTTGGGGGCCAGGGCCCAAATCCGAGGGTTTGGGGTTTAGGGCTTATGGTTTAGCGTTTAGGGTTTAGGGTTTAGGGTTTAGGGTTTAGGGTTTAGGGTTTTGTGTGCTGCAGACATCGAGCAGCTTGCCTCCTCGCGTTTACCTGCAGCTGCGAACTCTTCGGCTCTTTTGTCTGCTGCGGCTCTGCGTAAACCCTAAACCCTAAACCCCAGACCCTAAACCCTAAACCCCAGACCCTAAACCCTAAACCCTAAACCCTTCAAGTTGCAGCTGCTCTTTGTGTTCAGTCCTTTGCTGCTGCTGCTGATGAGGCAGCAGCTTTAGGAGATCTCTCCGCCCCTTACTGGAACTATGAAAGCCACCCAGATCAATACCCTGGGAAAAAGTAGGGTTTAGGGTTTAGGGTTTAGGGTTTAGGGTTTAGGGTTTAGGGTTTGTGGCTTAGAGCTGAGCTGGCATGTCTTATTGGGCTGCAGCTTGCCGCGTTGTTGGCAGCGTGACACGCCTTGGCCGAGCCTGTAGCTCAGAATTTAGGGTTTAGGGTTTAGGGTTTAGGGTTTAGGGTTTAGGGTTTAGGGTTTGTGCGTTTCAGGGGCAGCATGGTGCCGTTTAGTTTGCGGCTGCTGCTTGCTGTTGCTCCTCACCTTTGGGGGAAGCCTGTGGACTCTGTGTCGGCGTTGGCGTTGCTGCTGCAGCACTGCAAGCAGCAGCAGCAGCAGCAGCAGCAGCAGCAGCCAGCAGCAGCAGCAGCAGCAGCAGCAGCAGATGACAACAACCCCACCACCGACCTCCAGCGCCTGTGGAGGGCCAGACGCATCAAAACTGCTTCTCTCTTAGCCGTAGTCTTGACTGCAGCAAACTACCCTGAGGTGCTGCTGCTGCTGCTGCTGCTGCTGCTGTCTTTGTGCTGCTGCTGCTGCTGCTGCTGCTGCTTGGTTTGCTGCGGTGAGTGTTTTGGTGGTTGCTGCGCCTTCAGGAAGAGCTGAGTTGCTGCTGCAGTTGGTATTCCCTTTGCTGCTGCTGCTGCAGCACAGAGGCGCTCTCACATGCTGCTGCTGCTGCACCAGCTGCTGCTGCTGCTGCTGCTGCTGCTGCTGCTGCTGCTGTTGCTTTTGTTTCAGGAGGCGCTGCATTTGCTGCAGGAGGAAGTGCTGCCGATAGATGGAGGGTCTCTTTCGACTTTGTCCCTCATGGGGCGCATTTCCCTCAAGGCAGGACAATTAGGGTTTAGGGTTTAGGGTTTAGGGTTTAGGGTTTAGGGTTTAGGGTTTGGGGTTTGTGTTGCATTCAGTCGCTGGCAGGCACTCTCGACTGGGGCTCGGAAGCCGCTTGAGGCTTCTTGCTTCGCGCCACTGCCTGCTCCAGGCTTTAGGGTTTAGGGTTTAGGGTTTAGCGTTTAGAGGCTAGGGTTTAGGGTTTAGGGTTTAGGGTTTGTGTGCAGATGGGGTGTACCGACTGCGCAGAGCAGTATTTCTCTTATGCAGATTGCGCGACATCTCCAGACAGCTGCATAAGCAACACGAACCAGTAACTAAACCTTAAACCCTAAACCCTAAACCCTAAACCCTAAACCCTAAACCCAAGGCCGTAGCGGCTTTCAGCGTCGGCAGCAGGCAATGGCGGGGCCTATGCAGGCGCCAGTAGCGATTTAGGGTTAAGGGTTTGGCGCATCAAACCGCGATTTGGGGTTTGGGGTTTGGCGTGTCAAACCACGAATTAGGGTTTAGGGTTTGGCGTGTTTGTGCAGCGGCTTGCTGCTGCTCTTCACCCGCAGACCCGCAGCAGCAGTTGACGCCTTCGATGCTGCAGCACAAGCAGCAGGGGGCCCCCCAGCCTCTCCCTTGTCTTTAGGGGCCCCCTTGGGGGCCCCCCTGGGGGCCCCCCTAGGGGCCCCCCTGGGGGCCCCCCTGGGGGCCCCCCTAGGGGGCCCCCTGGGGGGCCCCCTGGGGGCCCCCCTGGGGGCCCCCGGGGGGCCCCCCGGGGGGCCCC